CCACATCTAAGCATTTTCCAGAAAATATTTTTTTTCTCAAAACGTTCCCTTCAAAAGACAAGTTAAAAACATGCTATCATGTATACATTGAATATGAAGAAAAACTTAATTGCATTCTATCAACTTGAAGGAATTGTTGATCTAGAGAAGTTCAAAGGTCATATGTTTATTTTGATTTTTTGTAAAAAACCATAACCTAAAATAAAAGAATTGTGAGTTAAAACAAGCAAAAAACATTAAAGGAAACCAATACTTAACATCTGTTATCCTTGAGTAATCCTCAAAACATAGCCTAAGACAGAACACATGCACTGAAATTAATTGTTTCCTTATTCACATGATGAGGAGAGCAACTTAAACAAAAAAGCAGCGGCTAAAGCTAGATCAATTCAAACTCTGCTGGCTAATTAAAGCCTAAAATTATGGAAGTGCTTTGGAAATCTGATTTTTTTTAAAAGGCCTAAAATTAGGAACTATGCAATCGATTTTCCCCATCAGATACTCTGCCTGAGACCATCAACCAGATCCGTTCAGTTTTTGCTCATTTAGAAGGCATTTTCTCACTAGTTTATCAAGCTCTCTCTATGGCAGTGAACACAAAAGAATTTGTGGGGCTCATAACTGAAGATGTATCTTCACACAACAACCAGAACAGATAAGCAAGGGGATGAAAACACACCATGGGCTGTATGCTGATGGAACATGGTCCCACAGGCCTGGAATAAGACCTACTCTCAGGGTAAACCCTCAGCCTCAGCCACACGTAAGAGTAGTGGTGGGCATGGATGGATCCAAGGGGGACAAAATGGGTGTGCATCACACCTGCTTGACAGAATGATGCCTCTGTGTTCTCACAAAATTTCACCTCCTCATGATGCCCTCATCATCCCCCTGCCTCAAATTAACAACAAAGAATGCTCAACAGTCAGATCACTTGATCACTGCAGCTTCTATACATACCAGAGAGGACCGGCTCCAGGTGGGCTGGCGTCTGATGGGGGGTGGAGAATTTGACTGTCTACATGAAGAGGTGAAAAAATGAGAATGGTTATTATTATTGATATAAAAAGACCAGATAGACAAGGGAGGGAGAGGAAGTAAATCAACAAGATTGGTAATCGTTACATCAAGACATAAACATGGCTTATTTCCGGTGGTAACAATAAGAACAATCTTGATTTCCTTTGTTTTTCTTTATTTTCAAAATGTTCAGATAGGATACTTTTAGAATAAGTTTTACAAAGTAATATTAAACAAATGGAGGCTTATTTCTATAGAAAGACTGAGGGAAATAAGCAAGACTGAAAAATGTCACATTACGTGGATTTTAAAAAATTGTACTTTTTCTACTGTTGTATATATGTAAAATCCTTCACAGGTTTTTTTAAAAATGCAAGGAAAAATATTTTTAAAATGCTTCCAGTCAAATGAAAATACAAAATAGATACAATATTTTCAGTGTGACCATATAAAAGGTACTTTTTATTAAGATAATACATTTTACAAACATTTATCTGATCAGATACTTTCCAGACTAAGAATCAACATATTTTTTACTGTAGAGATTAAAAAATGAATTGGAAGTATTAGCAAATTCTTGAGAGTTGAAATCAAAGATGCCTTCAAGCCATGGGTCCCAAATGCTATAATATTTTCCCTCATTCTCAGTGCTGCCATAAAACAAACAAACAAACAAACAAAAAAATCAGTTTTTTTATTAGGGTAAGTTCTTCAATTCAAAGGACTCTCCTTATTCTGAGATTTCATCCTTCCTACTTTTTTGGTGATAAAATATATTTTATGAAATGATGGAGGCAATATAGCAATGGTGGATTTTTAAACGACTGGCTAAATAATACAATATTATCAGACCTATGTTATATATACTGCCCCCTAATTTTTCTCCCTGTATCAAGAAATTGAGGAGCCACTCAACAGAGCTATACCTCCAGATGACAAGCAGCAGCTCTGCAGAAACAGAAAAATCAGTAATGATCTTTTAGAGGTCAGAGAGTCTCGCCCTCTGGAGAAGGACGCTGCTGTGTGTGCGTGGAGAAGGACGCTGTTAAGATTATGCCAGTTCACAGAACTCCAGAGGGATGCCCCAGGCCATAACATCGTGCCGGGACGCTGAACTGCATATGGAATTTAATGGGAGTGTGTGTGTGTGTGTATAATTTTGAGAGTGTGCCCCAGGTTTTAATCAGGTAAGAGGTTAGGAACCTCTTATACTCGGTTAGGAAGAAGAAAAGAATGGTTATTACAGAAGCAGAATTGAGAAACAGAATTTCTTCTTAGTTTTCAGACTAATATGTGATGTTCACTAATACTGGAGGAAAAGACCACCAAAAAAAGTAATAATAATAAGCACTCCGTAAATTTGATAGTAAAACCATTTGCTGAGCTGTGCTTAAATCAGAAGACAAGAATAAAATCCAGTTCTCAGTTTTTAAATTCACCCTAGAGAAGTCAAGGATAGCATTCTTGTTCATGTCAAAGATACCCCGAGAAGTCAAAGGCAACCGCAGAGTAGAAATACACAGAAGTGACCTATCAGGAACCTGCTCAAGAGAATGGTGTGGTGGGGCACATGGGAGAATGTGTCCGGAAGAAACGTACAGCCGCTTCACTTGCCACTCCCCGATCAGGCCTTCTTCTGATTTACATTTGCAAACCAAGCGGGTAGGCCTAATACTATCAGACATACTTTCAGACCCCGACAGTGACCAATTGCAGTGACTGGCTTGAAAGAGCCTCCGTGGTGTGGAGAAAAAAGTCTGCCATGACCTGGCGCTCCAGCTATAAAGCGGCCGCGTTCTTCAGCAGGAACTGCTCTAGGACAATACTCTACATACTCTCGGATGTGTCCACTGTGGGAGTGGAAAAGCAGTTCTTCTCTTGCATTTATAACCCTGACGCTCTTTGAAACAAAATTAAACACATTGGGCGCCCAAACCGCTGAATGTATTCGGCTGAGGAACGTCTTTTGAAGGTAACCAAGAAAAAGACAACGATAGAGTGAGCCCCAGCACGCTCCATCTGAGGTCAGGTCGCATTTAAGTGCCCTCATCACACGCCTCTTTATCATCTTTATTTCCAAATTAAATTAAAAAAATACACACGGATTTGTGACACCTGTGAGTGTCTTCCACATCTTCCTCTAATTACCCTGGCCTCTCATTTACAGTCAGATGACATGACCCAGGAGAACGCGCAGGGTTAGCCAACTGTGCAAGCGACACGGGGCTGAGGATGACAGGAGCGTCTTCTCTTTCAAGCTAGCTCGTCACTCTGTTACCCACTTCTGAACACACTCCGCGTCTGACACGAAGGGGCACCCTGGCAAATTGGGAACTGCTCTGCTTCTCCAAACTCCTAGCAGAGGGTTGGAAAGGCGCTAATGCGGGCCACCCCATCCAGGCAGCCAAGCATTCACAGTCAATTTGTGAATTATTCTCTCTCTGGGCATATGCACTACACTAGACAGTCTTCATCATTAACGTTTTCATTCCTGCCCTGGCTTTAGCTTACTTCTTTAGCTTCTGCAAGGAACAAGGAAAAAGAGTGAATAGGAAAAGCAACCTACAGCACCCCAAAAAGACATTAATTTAGTCTGATAAAGCCATCCCGTTGAGGGGGGGGACTAATTGTTTACTTACTCAGTGCAGATTTTGTTTTGTTTGTAAAACTTGTGTCGTGTGGCAAACAACCGAGAAATATACTTGGCATTTTCGATATCATCCTTGGAAAAGAAGAGACAGAGAAAAAAATAAACATTAGTTGAATTAGTTATACATTTCATTAAGATTCTTCTGAGGAGGGACACATCCCTTCCAACCTTCATCTCAAGCACAAAATAATACATGGGCCAAAGTAAACCAGCCTGCTGAATTTCAGCAGCAGCTATGCCTACAAAGCCTACCAAAGAGTGGCAGAACATGCCGTCTGCCAAGGAATCCCTATGTCCAAAGTGCTGGGGTTACACTGATGAACCGGCATGTCTTTACGTAATTCCCGACCAAGCGCTTTCAAAATAAATAACTGAATCAAGGCACAGCATAGAATAAACACCAGACTTCATTAAATAGGAGGCAGTGAGATGCCTTGGCTCTCGAGGAGGCACTTAACAGAAGGTCAGTAGCTTAGCTTACTTCAGATTAAGCTTGGGCTACGATGGGAAAGAAAACTCAAGTCTGCCAGCAAAAGCAAATGGAATGCAATAGAAGAATCAGGGGTCACTAGATGAGGGCTGTAACTAGAGTGCTGAGGAAGGCGGCACGCCAGACAATGTGATCCATCACACATAAGGCAGGTGGAGGGACCAGAGTCCTAGAGTCAAAAGTCAGCTTGGAAACCCTGTATTGTATTTTATTTTATTATTTTATTTTTTGAGACGGAGTCTAGCTCTGTTGTCCAGGCTGGAGTGCAGTGGCATGATCTCAGCTTATTGCAACCTCTGCCTCCCGGGTTCAAGCGATTCTCCTGCCTCAGCCTCCTGGGACTACAGGCGCCTGCTACCACGCTCGGGTAATTTTTGTATTTTTAATAGAGATGGGGTTTTGCCATATTGGCCAGGCTGGTCTCGAACTCCTGACCTCAAGTGATCCACCGGCGTCGGCCTCCCAAAGTACTGGGATTACAGGCATGAGCCACTTTGCCTGACCGGAAACCTGGTATTTTAAACATGGGTATTTCATCATCACTATCCTGGAATGAGTAATGATAGCATTGACCAAGTATTAGAAAGCATCTCTTCAAGAGAATATTTACTATTTCAAGATAGGGACAGCAAGGAAAGGACATGAGGAGTTGAAAAGTCCAAAAGCCAGTGTCTTGTCAGACCCTGCCTCTGTTTGTCTGTTTTGCTTACCGTGTGAAAGAGGGCAGTCTCTTCTTTGTTGATGAGCTCCACTAGAATGGTCGACTTGTTATGAGTGATATTCCCCATGTCATTCCACCTGGTCAAAACAAATGTCACTGTGAAAGATGTTCCAGGCATTTACGACACAGCAGAGAAGGGCTGTTTGCTGCTATCGAGTCTCATTTTTACAAACTATGATTTAACTATTTTTAAGTGAAATGTTCTTGCAAAGGATAAAAGTAAAGAAAATGCAGCACGTATCCATTCAAATAGCTAAAAATTCTACATAACATATGTCTAGATATTGCTATTTATAAATTATAGTTTTCTTTGTGACTAGCAATGAGGAAACTCTGCAAGGGACTTTTGCTTCCCCCTCTCCCACTTTTTTCACATTTCCAAAGGGACAAAATATTTCCCATGACCACTACTTTTTAATGATGGAGGAGCATATATTATTAAAACATCATGTGTTTCCAGGAACCTAAACAGAAGAATCCACATATTCTGCATTGCAATATGCACTACAGATTCATGATGCCACCTAAGAAAAAACGCCTGTTGAAGCAGGAATGACAAGAGAGATCTTTCAGGCTATAGAATAAACTTTTTGACTTTTGGACTTAGTGTCAGCTCCATATGCCGGCCACTAAGTATACATCAATTGTCTGTTTAATGTGCCTACACTTTTGGGAACATACACACATACACACACACAGAGTTTCCTTCCCTGTCTTCATGGAGACCTTACCTAAAATGAGATACACCAAAACAAGCACCAGATGAGGAAAGTTAAGCTACTGCTTCCCACCCTACTTGGAACCAATTTCTAACCATCTTTTACCACTACCTACCCTTCACCTGGTGCCCCAACCTATAATTCCCTGCCACCACTTTTTCACTCATATGATGCATCTGCTCATTAATATTTCTACCATCCTCTGTTTGGACAATAACTTTGAGACTCAGCTCTGGGAGTCACCTTCTCTAGGAATCCCTTCCTCATATCCCCCCTACCCACACGTGAGGAGAAGAGCCTGCTGCAGTCCCCTACCAGTCACCACATTGCATTACAATTTTTACTTCTGTGATGAGATCTCTAAGGAGACCAAGTAGACCACAGGCACCATACCCAATGCAGGGATTCTGCCTTCTTCGTGTCTGTGTTCCAAGCACTGAATCGAGCACCTGGCACACAGCACTCAATAAATGTTTGCTAGAAGAATAAAAAGCAATAATATTGCCTCTCAGCTGTATAGAGTCCGATTCTTACATCAAATCTCTATGGCAGCTATTTTTGCTCCTACTTTAAAAATGAGGCAATAGAGACACAAATAAGTACCTGACTTAACAAGTTTACTCGGTACATCAGGGATGGATGAGTTCTTTACTTGGGGTTTCCAGCCTTTCCTCCAGTCATCATTCCCTTATACCAGTACCAAATGTTTTTAGGTGCCTCTGCTGGGGCAATACTCTCTACAAGTGCTGCACCCAGCTTGCTTCGCAACCTACAGTTCTATCAGATTACATCTACATGGACTCACAGCTACATGCTCCTTAGTGAAGGTCTCTAGAGATAAGAGATATTTGGTTTCGTCTGGCTTCATTCCTTCAAATCAACTGCTGAAATCCTAGATACACTTGGAGCCCCACCATATGACTTCATCTAGTGGTATAATTAACATGACGCTATAGTAGATGTGAATTCTCATCTCGTAGTGGTTTCAAGATAAATGAAAAGGGCCGGAAACAGTTTCTAAGGAAACTAAGCATAACCTGTGAGTGGCTTATGCTCATGAAATTTCCAAATTGCAATTTTCTTCTCTTTCACTTCAACAGCTGGTGTGCAAGACTTGTGTACTTATCTGCTGTGCTGTAGGTTCAAAGAGAAACTGAAACATCATTTTAACTATGGAGAATTCGTAGGACACAATGCCTGGATAGCTTTGAATGGGTATAAAAATTTATAGTTACATATTTACATATTTTCCTCAATTAATTTATACTTTGTGGCAGATATATAGAGCTGACACTAAGTCCAAAAGTCAAAAAGTTTATTCTATAGCCTGAAAGATCTCTCTTGTCATTCCTGCTTCAATAATGTCTCTATTTAGAGGGCAAGAGAATATCATAAAAACAATGACAGAGTGGGGATCTAGGAAAATAAAAGCCTATCAGGAAGCTTTTGGTTAGAAAATTGTCTCAAAATGGCCCTACTGTAGTTGCTGATCCAGAGAGTACATGGCCAGTTAAGAGTCACTTCCAGAAGGTGGGCTATGCCTGCCTCCAAGAGCTATCTTTGATAGTGTGCCCTGGATACACAGATCCGCCTATCAGACACACATACAAGAAAGCTGTTCTTCCAATCATGGGCCATGCTGCCCTTGTAAATGAAAGCTAGAACACAGTTTATCAGATCGTTGGCATTATGATAAAATCTATGAGCACCAATACAAAGCAAGCATATTGATGTGAAATGCAGGAGGAGATGGCTGCATCTCTACACTGGTACCTTTCCTGATAAATGGAAAAGAGGACTGAAGTGTCAAAATAATTAAAAGTACCAAAGCCCCCTAATTCATCATAATAAATAGATTACTTTTTCAAAACACATTTTTAAAAATAATCGCCTTTTGTTCACATAAAAATCAGTTTGCACTATTGTGGCACAGGTGGTTTAGAACAATGGAAAGAAGTGTTTAGATTTAATGACTGACTGGAGAGCCAGTTTTCAACCAGACTCACGAAGTTTAGTTTCACCCTTGTAACTCAATAGGGTTTAACAATGTATTTCTTGGAGTCAGGTGGGAAGGGTTTCTACGAAAAGTGAGATGAATTTTACGCTTAAATCCTGCAGAGGGCTCACCTTATATGAGCTGAGAAAAGTCAAATCTTATCCACTGTTTGGCTCTTAACTCATTTGGATGTTAATGTAATATTAACATTACAGTCCCTCAAGGTGAAAAAGAAAAAAGAAAAACAAACAAACAAATAAGACTACCTGTGTATTACTGCTTGTCTTCCAATTCTGTTCCTCACGAAAATCCCCATAAAGAAAATGCCAAGGTGTACACAGTTTCCATGATTGTCCTGGGTTAAGACCAACAAAAGATACTTGTGATGACTCATGTTCACGGCAACATTAGTCACAACAGCTAAGAAAGATATGGAATCAACCTGACTGTCCATCCACAGATGAATGGATAAAGAAAATGTGGTACATGCATACAAGGGAGTACCATTCCGCCTTAAACAGAACAAAATTGGCATTTGCCACAATACAGATGGAATTGGAGAACACAATGCTAAATGAAATAAGCCAGGTACAGAAAGACAAATAACACATGTTCTCACTTATACGTGGAATCTAAAAATCTGAACTCATAGAAGCATATAGTATAATGGTGGTTACCAGAGGCTGGAGAATGGGAGGAATGGGGAGAAGATGGTCAAAGGAAATGAAGCCTTGTTAGACAGGAGGAGTAAGTTCAATATATCATGGTGATCATAGCATAGTTAGTAACAATATATTGGTGTTTTGTTGTTGTTTGTTTTGAAACAAGGTCTCACTGTTGCCCAGGGTGGAGTGCAGTGGCATGATTTTGGCTCACTGCAGCCTTGACCTCCTGGGCTCAGACAATCCTCCTATCTTAGTCTCCCAAGTAGCTGGGACTACGAGCAAGCGCCACCATGCCCCACTAATTTATTTATTTATTTATTAATTATTTATTTTTACAGACAGGGTCTTGCTATGCTGCCCAGGCTAGTGATCCTCCATCCTCAGCCTCCCAAAGTGTTGGGATTACAGGCGTGAGCCACTGCGCCCAGCAACAATGTATTGTATTCTTAAAATCACTAAAAGAGTAAATTTTAAGTGTTCTAACCACAAAGAACTTACTCCTCCTGTCTAAGAAGGCTTCATTTCCTTTGACCATCTTCTCCCCATTCCTCCCAATCTCCAGCCTCTGGTAACCACCATTATACTATATGCTTCTATGATTTTAAGTGTTCTAACCACAAAGAAATATGTGAGGTAATACATAGGTTAACTGGTTTGATTTAGCCACTCCACAATATACACATATTTCAAAACCCGTAGGCATCACATCCCATTTCTCACCCATGAGTAGAACGAATCATAGACAACATCATAGCAATAAAGTGAACAGCTGTGTTGGGGTCAGGTCCTACAGGAACTCACCCACCACACATCCTAGTGGACTATATAGAGAGAGAGAGAGATTTTTTTTTTCCTTTTTTCTCAATTTGTCACAACACATTTCCATTTTAAAAGAGAATCTCTGGATTTTCTCAGATTCATTGGGATTTGGATTTTCTCTTTCATGAACATCTATTAATGTCTTTTATTTTTTAACCTTACCAAAGTTCTTGTTTTTTAAATCATTATACATGTAAGAGTTTGAAGAGTTGAATATCCTTGAGGGCTTGCTTAAAGGAAGCCAAAAGCAGACCTAGACCTACCACTTCCTCGGCCCAGAGGCTGAAACTTTCACCTCTTAAAGCCCTCGATGTGTCCCTTTGCAGCTCTCATCTCTGGCCCTTTCAGTGCAGAACGTCCCATTCCTCAGTGAAGGGATATTTTCTCGAATAATTACCTTTTGTTTCCCTTGTTCACTCTTTTTAGAACTCCCATTATTGAAATATTGGACATTCTGGACAGGTCCTCTAATTCTTTTATCTCCCGTCCCCGACTTACCATTACTTTGTTTTTTGGTGAGACTTTCTCAGTTTTATCTTCTAACCTGTCTATTAAGTTGTATACTTCTGATATCACATTTTTAATTTCAGAGTTCATTTTTGTTTTCTAAATGCACCTTTTTGTAAGTACCTTATTCCTTCAAGGAGGTAAAATTAAAAAAAAAAAAATCCTGAGGCTCACTGAATAGTATTTTGAGCAGGGGGCTCTTCTTCCTGTACAACATCTGCATCTGCCAGTCAGTCCACTGCTGTTCTTATGATGTTGATCTCTGTCATTCCTAGAAGGACACTGTGTAGAGTGATGCTTGACTGTCTGTTCGCATTTGAGAATCAGATGCTAAATGCTGGCTGGGAGCTCTCTAAGCACAGGAGGGGCTTATGGACTTCACTGGTGGGTGATCTGTTGAGCCCTGTCTTGGGGAACCCCAGATGTCATATTCTTATCTTCAGTCTGGCCTCTTGGTCCAGTCAGGTGCTTCCAATCTCCTGTCTGGGAAAGCATCACCTGGCTGCCAGGGTTCTGAGAGTGGAGTGGGAACCAGATATCTAGTGGACAAACTGTCAGTCCCTTAAGTGAAATCCTGCTTTCCCATGGGGGAGGTCTTCTTTCTGGAGCAAGAGTGGGGCCACGCACAACTAGAACTAAGATGGAAAAGAAGGACTTCTACATTCCCTAGAATACTTGATCCCATTTAAGGTACAAAGAAGGCAGGGACCTCTTCTCAACTCACCCTCTAAAGCTTACATTCGAATAAGAGTCTTCTAACAGAGACAGAGAAAGAGTACAACCCCTGTTGGTCGCAAAGCAAAAAGAGTGTTGAGAGACAATGAACCGGCAAAGACAAAAGAGAACCGTCCCATAATGCTGATTCCAGGAAGTTGAAAAGTTAACAGGAGGTATATGTGAGAAAAGAAGATAGGAGTGGAATTAGAAAGAGAAGGGGAATTCTGCAGAAAGATTTCCCTGGGCACTTTACCTCCAGAACTGTAGGGATGCGGATAAGGGAAGAGTTATTCACCAAGATGGGGCAATGGCAAAAGCACAGCAGGGGTGCCTCTGGAAACCACTATACCCAGTGCGCTGGGGACACTGCACTGGTCAAAGCTTAAGGGCTCTAAATCCAACCTAGCAATGGATAAAGGCTCCAGACTCTGTCTTACCCATCCCAGAAGCACCCTTTGCCATGCCTATGTGCTCTGACAATATAGGACTGACTCAGGCAGTGCCCATACCTGTATCTGCGGAAGGAGGGGCAGACTTGTTGGAAAGTTGACTGGTCTTCTTCTACTCTTGAAAATTTTTGAGGAACCACTCATGGAAAAGCCCATGCTAAATTCATGTATTTTTCCTAGGATATATCATGACATGCTTTTGTCAATAAGAACCTGTACCAATCAAAAGAGAATCCAGTCCCACTCACAGCCTTTCCCTGCATATTTTCTTGTCTGCTTTTTTACTCATTGCAGAGCTGACCACATCACCACCCCCATTGGTACTGTTGCTCCCACCCCCATCCTTGGGTCACCAGGAATCATGCGGTCTATAGATGGTCACCTTAGATATGCACAGGTATGTGGGGAGAAAGAGGAAAAAGAGGCAGTGCAGCTCAGTTACCTGAGCTTGGCAATGAGTCAGAAGTGCCTATCTTCCAACTCAGAGGAAGGTATTATAACCCTTGTCGGTCCCACTAAAGAAAGAACATACTAGAAAGCACATCAGAACCAACCACAGCAGATTTCAACATATCCTCAACTGCCCCTGTTTTCCGCAGTCCACATTAAAAAACAACACAAGCAAATTGCCGCAACAAAACCTCCAACTTCCAGGGATTGAGAAGTCAGTTTTCTAGAAGTGGAGAAAAGTTTACTCTGATTTTTCAATGACCCAAAATATGACTATATATGGGGTGCAGAAATGTAAGTGGGATGCAGATGGCTTCATAAGGCATTATTGCAAGGAAAATGGATTACAACCCTATGAAGGGCAGCTATTAGAGAAGCAAAAGAAAATTAAACAAATCTAAAAAAGAGCCATTTAGCCCTTTCTGAAAGCTGCGGCCACCCTGCTCGATTCTACTTGATGCACATGGGCAGTTCTCATTAAGGCAAATTGCAAACGTGCAACAGAGGGGGAACTGAACACTTATAAAACAGCCAGTGGAGCCAGTCTGGAATGAAATGTTTGTGATGAAATTGCAGGCGTCTCCCAAATTGCTAAAATGTGCCAGTTGCTTTACGTTTCTGATCAATCTCCATTTTTTGTAAAGTTGGTCAGCAGAGAGCAGAAAATGAGTTTGGATGATGGGCTCAGCTCTGTAAATGACTATGCTCCATGACCCCCCCAACCACACCCACTTCAGGAGGTAGATGTGCTGCAAAGGATGTGATGTGCTGTAGCAGTTTCCTAGGCATAGTTTCCATAAAACACCAAAGGGGCTAGGAACCCACAATGGAGGGCCCTACAAAGCTGGAGAAATAAAACATGATTGTATACAGGGAACATTTCATTCTACCTCACAAACAATTATCCCTGTATTGGCTCAATGAAGAGAAAAAGAGAATAAGAAAAGTATCGGCTAGAGTCTTCATTAAGGTTTCACATGACATTGGCTGTTGACTTGTCCTGTTATAGGACTGGAATATCAGCCTTGATACCTCCAAGGTGCCGAATTGGCTGATGCTTGCTACTCAATTAGATGGAGTGTCTTATTGAACTATTCTGCTGAGGACCATGGCAAACTTCAAAATGTCTTGGTTAAGAAAAGCATTTGTTTATCTATAATAAATTGGACTTGTCAACTAATGCTGCATAGTAAAAAGAAGGCCAAGTCATTCTGGCCTACTGCTATCAACACCGATTTTCCAAATGCCAGTACAGGTAAGAGAAGGTTAAAGCCAGCACAGGGCACAGCACGTTACCTTTACAGGGAAGATTTCCTGTCCAAATCCATCCAAACGTTCCACTTCATTGATGTACATCAGTTCAGCTTCTGCTGGCAGGATTCCACTAAAATCAAAATAGCATCGAAGGAAGAAATGGTTAAGGGCAATCAGTGGAAGATCCCACTCTCCTGATGGCAAATTCCAGAGCTGTGGTTTAGCTCCAGTTTCTGGGAAGAGCAATCATTACCCAACTGTGAGGGTAGGGTGCATTACTAAGTAATTCATTAACATCTTTCCCAGTAGCCTTTTACTCAACAGGGAATAATAAGAGGAAGGTAAAGTATTTAATTAAGAGCCACAGCTCTATAAACATGAAATAATTATTCCAGACATCCCTTCGAATATGTTGCCTACTTTAGAAGTTATTTTTCTCTCATCTGGGAGAAATCTTCATTATGGGGGAAAAAAAAAAAAGGAAAAAGTTTATAATGAGGATAATATTTTGGGAGTCAAATGGCCATGGCTCATGCCTATAATCCCAGCATTTGGGGAGGCTGAGGCAGGTGGATCACTTGAGGTCAGGCATTCGAGATCAGCCTGGACCACATGGTGAAACCCCGTCTCCACTAAAAATATAAAAATTAGCTGGGTGTGGTGGTGCATGAGCCTGTAATTCCAGCTACTCGAGAGTCTGAGGCATGAGAATTGCTTGAACCCTGGAGGTGGAGGTTGCAGTGGCCCGAGATCACAGCACTGCACTCCAGTCTGGGTGACATAGTGAGAATGTCAAAAAAAAAAAAAAAGAAAAAGCCATGACGAGAGAACTTAGGATCACTCCATAGGCCTTGATATCAAACTCTTGGTGCTTCCTTGAATTAAAGTTTCTCTCTTTTTCTTTCCTTCACCTGCCTACCACTCAACACAGCACTTTAGGTCTTCACTCTCTCAGCACAGGCTTCCTAGATTCTCTGAGGGAGGAAGGAAGGAAGGAAGGAAGGAAGGAAGGAAGGAAGGAAGGAAGGAAGGAAG